ATATTCAAGATAAACTGTAAAGAGAGGAAAACAATGTTTTAGAAATGGACGAGTTTTTAAAATAGAATAATTTTTTACGTTTCAGAATATATTCTAGGTTCAGAAACCCAACTCGAGATGCGGCCACCTCCTCGTGGTGAGTTCTGGATTGATTTAATATTCAAAACCGATTTTATTATCTTGTATCTACCATAAATCCCTTAAGTTTGAAATCAAGCGAAGAACTGCACATAGCTGAACTTTTTAATTTTTTTAATTTCTCACCCCTAAGGGCCCAGCTAAATAATTTATTTTTTCACTAATTTTTATACAGAATATAAACAACGTAAGACACAATTTTTTCAATTATTTTTTTTTAGTAATTTTTGACCTACCCTATTAGACAAGCAGTGCAATAGTCCTACAGGGGTTAACACTTAAAACAAAAAGTTTTAGGGTCTTACCCCATAGGTGACGCAGAAAAGAGATCACAATCTGATATAAATATACAATATAAAGAGGCAATGCTCCAGTCAAAATAAGCATGTAATCCGATCATTACTCATTTCCCTAGATCCTACTTACACCTACCGTATAATGAACTTTTTTTTGTAATGAAATAATGTATGACCCTGTATGTGAACCAATAAGATTTTTTTGATAAACAACTCGCAAGTTAAAAGGCAATTATTTTCTATTTTTTGTCAACAATTTCAACATTTTGTCAATGTTTTCATCTTACATATTCAACCGCAATCACCCTGTAAGTACGAAATATTTTTGGCTGCCTCAAATAGTACAAGGGGTATATTTATAATCCAACACAGTGTGTCAAAATATTTAATATACAGTATTTTTCTCTGAAACATATCTACTTATGTCAGTATATTTATTGTTCATATATTTGGTACATATTAAGTTATATTTGGAAAACTAGTCATAGGATCTAATTTTACCAATAAGAATTTCCAACAAATATATCAAGAACTATACAGTATCAAATATTGAGAGCCTTTGACGGTGATATTTTGTTTTTCGGTATTTCAGCTATTTTTGATCGGTGGAAATACCTACTTTGACCAAAAAAGATCAGCCGAATTATTAATCACCCTGTAAGGGACAATATTTTAATTATAGTAGTTAAGTATGTATTTTGACTCCACAGAATGAGCAAATAACCTCCAAAAATATTTAAGGATGATTTATGGTGTCTATTTTAAAGAATTGGGGATTTCTAACTTCAACACCCTGTATCTCAAAATCTAGTCATAGGATACGATTGGGCCCATAGACACGTTTGATGAGGACATCAAGTGATTTAACATATCAAAAATTCAGACATTTTGACGGTACTCCCGTTTACATAAGAAAAGTGCGTGGTCCTTTAACAAAAAGTGCAAAATTCGAATTATTAAGAAAATTCTTTAAATTAAAGTTGTTTGTAATATCACTATTCTCTATAATTTTTGTTCTGTACTTTTTTCAGTATTTTCGTTGGCAATGAATATAATGTTTCGAGTAAGATGTGTGTGGAAAATGTTTAATTCATCCTTTAAAGGGTGATAGAATAGGTTGTACAAAATATCCGGAAAAAGCCTGTTAGAACTAGACAGGAAAGTAATGTGTTAGACACATCAGATTTATCTTAATGTGCGGTGTGGTACTGTTCTTTTTTTCCAGCTGGTATGTGGATTTGTGATCAGCGTACCCAAAGTTTTAAGAATATATTATTATGTTAAGTTTTATATATTGTCCCTGTGGCTCCTATGATAACCGATAATATTGGAGTTTTTAAGCCCTGTAATGGCCCGACCCCCGGTACCCCCTATTTGTACGTTATTTTACTCTCTGAAATGTTATTATTTACCACACAAGTTTATTTTATTTTAGTTTATACTTACTGTATTTGGCCTTTTTCCTCTAGTAGTAGAAGTGATCGTCTAGTTAATTAATTGATAATTTATATACCCACGTTGTGATAATGTTAATTAAGGTAAACCAGGATTCGATGCAAAGTTTGGTGTAAATTGATAAATAAAACATAGAAATTCATATTTAAACCCTTTTTATTTTTCATACTTTAAATGTGATGCAATAATTAGCAAAGTATATTACAATTGGTACTATTTACTGAGATCTCACTTGAGTCCTGTTCAAACGCCAGAGCACATTCATTTGCTATCAATATATATTTTATTTAGGTTGATGACCTACGGAGTTAACAAACAGCGTCAATTCGCCAGTTGATTAACTACTATGTTGATGTTTATATTCTTATTTAGGTTGCTGACCAACGGAGTTAACGAACAGCGTCAATTCGCCTGTTGGTTAACTATTGTGTTGATGTTGATTTGATTCTATTCTAGATATACACAGGTTGCACCCTCTTAGGTAAATATTTCGACGAGTATAGAGGTGATGAGCAACGGAAGTAACGAACAGCGCCAATTTTCCAGTTGGTTACTTTTCTATGTTGATTTCACATATACTTTGTTTCAAACCTAGTAGAACGGGTATCCCCCCTTGAGCGAACGAACATTGTATTCACCAGTTGGTTAACTTACTATTAAATTTTACCCTATTGGTTTGTACAATTTATCCAAGATAGCACATCCCTGTATATTTCTAAAATATTCATTTTTATAATTTCTATTGAATTAACTTAATACAACCCTGTATATTTTTTATATCGATTATTTTAATTTCTATTGAAATAACTTAATACAACCCTGTATATTTCTTAATATTGATTTTTATAATTTCTCTTGATATACTCAACATAGAAAACATGTTTATCCTAACTGTCCTTCGAGGTGGATGACCTGAAGGCCATGTGGTTTATTGGTTACACTGATAATACTTTTCAGCAAGTGTCAAGCCCTTGTTTAAACGAAACCCCGGTGGTATCTCAAAGAAAGTTACATAAATCTTTTGACTCACCATTGAAAATATAGACATTAGATTATGTACTAAATTCATCTAGTGTTGTGACGGTGTAGATTTAGGTACGTCGCAGCGTTGAGCGTCGCCTTGCGTCGAGGCGCCTAGCGTCGTGATGGAGAGGAAGGTATTTAATACGGTACTGCATTGAGACAGATATACGGTAGAAATATTTAGGTGGTGCGGAACGTGACGAAGGGTGTCGACAAGGATATTATGAAGGAAATATTTAGGGGCGGCAAGCGTCAAGAAGTAGAGCGATGGGACGTTGGGCGTCGGAATGAATGTAAGGTAGGAAATACTTAGATGGTGCGGAATGTGACAGCGTTTGAGACGTAGGGAGTAGGACGGCAGGACGTTGGGCGTCGAGACGTTGACACCTTCGGGGATAGGAGGTATTGTAGGATAGACGTCGTTTAGGAAGAGCGTTTTAGGAAAGGTACTGACTATATAACTGGATACAAATAATAAAGTGATTATTTGAATGTAAAATAATAAGATGAATGCTTGTTCATCAAATAATAAAAATGAATGCATGCACATCAAATAATTAAAAATGAATAAATCCGAGCTCCTTTGGGTCAGACTTCTTATACTAAGTTTAATAACTTTTTGTCCCTCTCTGTGTGTCTTAGTTCCCAGAGAAATATGAATGTGGGTGCAAAAGGAGGTGGCTGAATTATTACTTGCCTTGACAGCTTTGTGTATCGAAATATTGTCGAAATCGGTCTTAACATCGAAACTAGAAAGATAAGCGAGTTAAATGTTTTAATGATGATTACTTCGTGAAAATAAATGGAGTTTTCTTAGTCTCGGTTCCCAGACACGTGCACGAAATTTGGATCTTTTACGGACATGGTTATTGATATTATTTATTAGGTGTCGTAAATAAGATTTAATTATCTGGGAGATTTTTTGTTAAATGAAGGATTTTGAATTTAATAAGAATGCAATATTATATTTTATAAATGGAATTAATAAATTATTAAGTTACCTGGGTGCGGTAGGTTACAGCCCCTCACCCTACTTTAGCTCTCTTTGCAGATGTCTTAATGTCTATGATTCAGTTTCTTATCTGTATTTTTTTTTGGATCAACTGTAATGTCCGATGGTATTGACCCATCTATAATATAGTAGACTTTTTGGCCTTCATCGTTCTATCTGTTATTTGAACTTGGGTTTCCCAGATTGTCTTTTTTTGTTTCGACGCTTTTGGGAAGATGCATGGTCGCACCCTTTTTTTCTGTTTTTATTTTAGTGTAAGCTTGCGCCAACTTCATTGTAATGGAATAATTTGAAAGTTGTGCCGCGTGTATGTCAAGTCTTGGTTACAATAGTCACCTTTTCACCGACGCTTCCTAGGGGAAACGTAATCCACAGAAAATAGAGCTCAAAGTGGGGTTGCTGCAACTGAGATGTCGCCCCATATGCAAGCAATAAATTGTTTAAATAATAATTGTGTTAATATTTCTGTTATAACAATAAATTTTATTTACAATTTTACAAATGAGTTGGAAAGTATGAATAAATGTTTCAAATATTGATAGTTTTGCGGTAGAGCGGTAGTCCACACCATGAAAACGGTAGATCTTCCGCAAAAATGGTAGACCTGGCAACACTGGGTGTGGTTAGTACTGTTCTTTTTGCAGCCTAATATTGAACAACCTGTCATTATATACTTCATTGTTTCGTCATATTGCGTGCAGATGCAACATTTTGGATCCACTTCTGCTTTAAGGTACCATTTGGGAACGCGAGACCAAGGCGACTGAAATGTGTCTCTTTACATCTGAATCACAATTATTTGAAGCAGATTTGGGACTGAGCGACCGATGCAAGAGACCGCGACAGCACTTTCATTACCGGATTCGAAGCAGTCGCGGTCGCTTGCATCCGTCTTGCGTTCCCAAATTGTACCTTTGTGTATTATTTTTTTTTGCTGTAGTTAGATACTAATACTACTGCCTCAGTAGTTATGGTGCACGCTACGCTACAATCGAACTGACTGCATTTCAACAAAATGGCTTTTTTTCAAACACCCGGTATATACCTGAACTACAAACCATTCTATTAAGCAAAATAGAAAGTAGACCTACTATACATACACGCTTACATCACTTATTTTATTTCAACCGTGTCACTCTTGTATCGCTTTGTTGTTTTGTTTTAGCAGAGACTGTGGAACGACATTTTCATTTTAGTCTACTTTTAGTCGTTAAGCATCAGCAGCAGCAGCCGTCTCCGTATTCTCGAGAGAATGACCTTCTCCTCTTCGCGTTTGCCGTGTCTGTACGCCATTGCCATTTCCACGCCAATTTTCTCAATCGAAAGACCGTTCTGTTAGGTGTAGTTCAGTTCGCGCGCCTTATTCTTGATCCAAAATCGCATAACCCAATTACCTTTTGGTTGACCAAGTGGCGCTAAAATTAGCATCAGTGTCATTCGAGCGTGCTACAACTGACGACATTCGACAACGAAAGTTTGTTAATTGATACAGTGCGAGTGTGCGTATTTTAAATAATTAATTTCGCCACAGTAATGAGCAAGAATAATTATCAAATGCCGCCCCCGTACGGGCCGCCCCAAGCGGCGCCGCCCAGCTACGCACAGGCCGTCGGGGGAGTTTCACCCTCCAGTCCGTATGTACCACATCATGTTCGTAAGTATTTTTGGCGATTTACATAAATACGTAATTGTAATTTAAAAATCTTGAAACTTTTTAGGTGTTATGACAATTTTCTGAATTTACCGTAGTATGTTTACCGTTCTAGAAGAATGTTTTCTTTATTGTTATATTTTAGTTATGATGATGGCGAGAAGATTTGCGGAAACGTTGGCTGTACAGATTGTTCGCTTTTAGTGCATGTTGCGTTCCCAATTTGATGAAAAGGAACAATTGAAATTTTAAACAGTTGCAATTAGTCGTTAAATAAGACGTTAACTATAAAAAAGTAGATTGTTATCTTGAGGGTTAGTTTTGGAGGGGTTAAATGAGAAGTTAGAAAAATGTTCCGATCTCATCATATGGGGTATAAAATGAAAGCTCTTTGACGCACGGTTTCAAAAATGTTTAATAATTTTAATTTTGTTATTTTTTTCTGTAACACTTTTTCGAAAAAATACTTAAAAATTGCTGCCCCCATATTATCTCCATAAGTATCGCTCAGAAAAATCGGAAAAAAATATCACGAACGTTGAGAATTAATTATAGATTGAAAGAAAATTGTTTTTCTTGTTTGGGGTAAATTGGAAATTTGAAAAAAAATTCTGATGCCCTCATGTGGGGTATCAAATGAAAGCTTTGTGATCCACGATTCCAAAAATGTATAATACGTTATTTTTTTTACCTTAAAAAAATTGCTTTCCCCAACTTATTTCCAAAAGTAAAGCTCAGAAAAATCTGAAAAAATCACAACTTTGAGAAGGTGTAGATTAAAAAAAAAAAAATTATCTGTCGGGTCTTTATTGGGGGTAAATTGAAAATAAAAAAATTGATGCCATTGTGTGGGGTATCAATGAAAGCTCTTCAAACCACGATTTCAAAATTTTTTTAATACATTAGTTTGTTATTTTTTATTTAACTTTTTTTCGAAAAAACGTCTAAAAATTGCTGTCAACTTATCTCCAAAAGTAACGCACAGAAAAATCTAAAAAATCTCGAAATTTGAGAATAAGGTGTAGATTAAACGAAAATTATTTATCTTGCGGGTCAGTTTTGGGGAGGGGGTAAATTGGAAATTTAAAAAAAAACCTGATGCCATCGTATGGGGTATCAAATGAAAGCTCATTGAAGCACGATTTTAAAAATTTTAAATACGTTCTCTTGCGTTAACTTTTTTTTAAAAATACGTCTAAATACATTTTTTTCCAAAAGTAACACTAAGAAAAATCTGAAAAATCGCCATCTTTGAGAATAAGATGTCGATAAAACGAAAATGATCAAGATTGCATTTCTTTAGATTATTTTTTATTAAAAAAAAAACAGAATGATCACTGTACTGATACTTTGTATCAGCCAGCGCCTGGTCTAAATCTAACAACATAATAATTATCAACTGTTCATATTTTAAAACAACTACGGCACAGAACATTATTACGCAAAAAGGACTTTAATTGTTAATTTATGTACAATATACAGGGTGTCCCATTAGTGCGTAATGGCTAAATATTTCAATTTGTGTTATAGAAACGCAGAAAGTTTCGAATAAAAGTCTTTTTTCTGGGAAATAAAAATGTAGATTTTTTAAATAAAACACCCTGTATTTTATTTCAGTTTTAAATAATACTGTATATTTTTTTAATACTACAGGGTTGCCAAGCAATTAATTTTTTTTTGTGAAATTAGCAAATGCAATGTATATCTTATTTTAGTGTAAAATTCCTTATATTCCTTGTATATATTATTTTAGTATAAAATATCTTATAAATTTACCTATCCAACGATACCAACATATTAGCCAATAACACATATACAGGGTGTCCCGTCAGTGCGTAATTGATCGACAGCTGTTTTATTATTGGAAATAAGAAAAAAATTGATATAAAGTTTTATGTGAGGTTTCATGACCAAATTTAACAAATATTCTTAAATATACAGGGTGCTCCATTAACGAGGGGCTGACCAAACCTATACATATTTGATTTTCTCATCGTCAAACAATTTTAATAGGCTTCATTTATTTGCTATGTACTCAATTTTTTAAATGTAATACCCTATATGTTATACTACCAATTAATCAATACAGGGTATTACATTTAAAAAATTGAAAAAATCATAACCTATATACAAGATAGCAAATGAATGAAGTCAATTAAAATTGTTTGACGATGTGAAAACAATCAAATATGTATAACTACCTACAGGCGTTTTGTTTTAAAAAAGTATAGGTTTGGTCAGTACCTCATATATGAACCACGCTGTATATGTATGAATAATTGTTAAACATGGTCATACAACTTTTATATTAAACATTTCTTTGTATTTCTAATAATAAAACAACTATCGATCAATTACGCACTGATGGGACGACCTGTATATGTGTTATTGGCTAACATGTTGGTATAGTTGGATATAGGCAAATGTATAATGAATTTTTTGCATTTGAAAAAATTGAGTAAATTGAACCTAAAATTAGCCATATTTAAGACATGTTTCAAAACACTCTGTATAAAATAAACCAGTTCTATCACCACTATTCGTTAGCTTAGTATTTTAGAAGTCTGTATATTAGACAATTTTGAAATCAATGTTAACCTACCTAAATTATGATAATTTAATTTTGGATCTGCATCATTCTCTAATTTCATAAAAAAATTAATTGCTTGGTAACCCTCGTATACGTAGAACGTGCAACTGAGTCGCTCGATCGCTTCGTTCACCACACATGTAAATCTAATTGGTGAAACATTTGGCACTCTTTGTTCCTTGCGACGACGTCTGTCGATCTTTGATGTTTTTGGCTTTCTCGTGTGCACAGTGCACAATGTGCACATGTAATTAGTGCACTTCGCGATCAGGTCCCCCGGTTATTTTGATTTCACGAATTACATAAATGTCGGGAGTCTATTGAAAAATACGGGATTCAAGAAATTAAAAATTATATTGAATTGATCATTAAAGAATTTATTTAATAAAATGGACTGATTACTTCATTTTCAATACAAAACGTGTTTGTCAAATATATAAACTATGATACATTTATCTATAAAAACAATTGTTTGGCGGCCCAAGATACTCGGCGAAGTAAGTTAGGAGTTAGGTACCTACCTAATTTATAATTTCTTCGATCTGATAGCCCAAAAAAAAGTATTTTTGGGCTTGGCACAACAAACAATTTTTTAAAAGAATTAAAGCACGCGCCACCACTGATTATTTCTTAAAATTATTTTGTTGTACCTATCTATGATATGATATATTTTTGATAACAAATACACTATATTTTGCAAATGTTTATAAAACCAGAATATATTTAGAACTGTTTCTTAAATGACCCCGCTCTCTTTTATCAATACACGAAATGTTTTTTGAATTCTATGACTACCTTAAAGGTAAAAATCAAAGTTATGTATATATGGATTAATATATTTCTTGGTATATTATTTAATAAATTATCTCGAATAATATGATTCACAGTGGCAGTAAAAAGAAAATCAAGGAGAACATATCGATTTGTCTCGGTGCTGGTATAGTTAATTATTTTTGTTTTATTATTATTGTAGGCTATTTTTATGCATCTACTACCTTTATATAATATTATTATTTAAATTCGATGTTTACAAAATTCACTTCGACTATTAGGAATTTCCGTTTAATTAACCTACATTAATAACGATCCAATTAATCAAACCGTAATTAATCGACCTCAAGCAGGTAGACTTAGCTCGTTACTTGAAAGGTACCAATATAAATCTCACGTTTACCTACACATGAGAAAGATAACCGGTATCGACTAGCGAATACCTTCTAATATCCCTTGGCACAAGTGCATGTGAAAACTACAGAGAGCCAGCAGAAAATAAACACAACCAGCGGTGCCATTTATACTACCCTAGCGCGTTGTAACGCTTGCCAGGCCGTACAGGCTGGCATCGCTGGTTTTGTTTCTTTCCTGTTTGCTCTAGTGCTGGCTCTCTGTAGTTTTCACACGCACTTGTGCCAAGGGATATTAGAAGGTATCCGTTGACCGATAGTGAATATGGCTGTGAATTTGTCATGAAATTGTCGAAGTCGTTCAACATGTAGACTTCGTTTGTTTTATGAACAGATCGGACATGTCATCAATCTTTTGATTGGACACACCCAACTGCAGAAAAACAGTGATATATACAAAGTTTATCTAATAATACTTAGGTTACAAAAAAAGTTCAGAAGCTTTCAGAACTTTACTAAGTTTGCGAAAATCTATTTTACCGTTCCAACAAGTCGATTTAAAAATTCAGACCTTACAGTGCAGTGTTCATACAACGAACTGATTACGAATACGAATCGTTTTTAAAAGTTCTAGGATTTTACAAGAATTGTTGATATTGAACCAGTTTACCGTGCTATTTACTTTATTTTGCTTTCGTTATTAATTATATACAGGGTGTTATTGAAATACACGTACATATTAAAATGGGGAATAGTATGTAATGACCAAAAACGATTGGCACCAATTTTAACTTCAAATTCTAAAATTTAAATATTGGGGAAGAGTCCCCTTTTCCGACCTACTAGTTTCCATATTTAAAGAAGTAAAATAAATCGAAATTGAACTTACCCATAGAAATTGCACTGTTGCCGTAGCAAAACCAATTAATTCAAAATAAAGTTTATTACAGTAATTGTTCAAAATGCCGTCCATTATTATTTACACACACTTGCAATCGTCTTTCCAAAGAACTTTGAACATTAGAAATTAGTCTTGGATTTTGTCGTAGTTCCTCGGCTACCGCATTAACTTTATTGGTTAATTGTTCAACACTATTAATAGGTTCATTATAAACCAGTTGTTTCATGTGACCCCACAAAAAGAAATCGCATGGATTTAAGTCCGGAGATCTCGGAGGCCACTTAGTAGGTCCATTTCTGCCTATCCACTTTTGAGGAAATCTAATGTTCAAAAACTGCCGTACGTTTAAATCAAAGTGAGGAGGAGCGCCATCTAGTAGGTACCACAT